GCGACCCCTTGAGATCTTTCAAGTCGTGGACGTCCGTCGAATAGCCAACGGAACGGTCTGCCTGCAGTATGGGCGCGGAGTCCTCAAGAGGATTCACGCACGCTCAACTGGATAGAATGAGGTTGACGCCTGTCTCAGACCCCTTCTCGAGTCGATTGTTGTCTCCGCTGCAGCGATGAAAATGTCCGGTCCCTGAGCGAATGAGGCTGTGGAGCATTACTACGCTGACCAGAGATGAACTTCTTCGCCTCTCGCGACGCTGATAGGATATTCCGGGATCGAGAATCATGGTCCCGTTGGAGGCGAACACTCAGCTTATGATCGAGCTTGACGCCAAAGTTTATTTATCAAGTTCCCTGTACCTACAATCGTATATTGGCCGTGACATCTAAATATCGGGATGTGACATGGACTCTCTCATCTCGTCTCCTCTGAAGGCGGCTCGGGTCATTAGCTCAGCGTTGACCGGAACGAAGTAGAATTCCCTGTAGTCGCCGCGTTTCCTCAACAGCGTCTTGACCTGGAAGCATAATTCAACAGTGAATGATGGGAGAGCTTCTCTATTCATGTATAATAATCGGAGCGATATGACCTGCCGAGATGCGAACCTTGCGGAAACATTCCTTCTTCACCTCCTCTTCGTGACCCATCTGGAGTGACGCCATGTTTTGTTCATAGATACTCTGCGGTGTGTTGATGAAGTGTTTGACAATGAACCGAGTTATGGGCGATCTGTAATACTCGTGTTCTTCCGGTTCGTAGCCCGGTGGGATGTCGCTGAGGGTCGCTGGTCCGATGAAAATATTTATGCTGGTGATCGCCACGAAAAGCGGGATACCTGTCAGGCACAAGTAGAAGTGCATGTCGTCGAAAAACAGCTTCCAGTGGTACGAGGTGGGCCTTATCTCCATAACTCGATCGTGAGAGCCCCGAACAGCTTGCTTTTGCGCCTCTCCTATTAAATGGGGAAGAAAGTTTGAGTGAAGTTCTGAAGATCACCGCGGACCAGTGACATCCACAGAGCCCATTCGAGTCCCAGATCTTCTCTAATACTCCGCGCAGTTCCACAGGGTTTGCTCTCTAGAATCGTCGATCATCGGAAGAACTTACGTCTCGAAAGCAGCGCGATCGTGGGCTTCACCGCAGCACGAAAACGACTCAAGATACTCATGGCTGCCCTCGCTTGAGCGTCGGGGGGCGGTTTTCAATAAACTCCAATAAACTCGCTTGGCAATGCCAAACCCTCACAGCCTGAGGACACAGCGACCCGCGATGTTTACAGCACGATGTCATCTACCACGGGTCGGAACTTACCGAACTCTCTCCACCACCCGTTCCCGGTGGAGGGTAGACAGCGCGCGAAACGAGCAGGGTTCGACATTTGTGTCAAATCTATGAATCCGAAATCAGACCGGTATTTTGCGATGACTGACCGAACGAGTCTTCTGATCATGCGTGCATGATTCCCGGGAAGGACTTAAGCTCTCGGAGCTTCTGTTCCTCGCTCAACCACATTCAGGTTTCGGGCAGAGACCACCAGCCTGAGTGCCTCGACGTTCCTCCTGCCTTGGAAATCTTGACTTTTCTCTCCGGGGCAAGACAAGGGAGAATGGAACATAGTGACGATCCGCCTTCTTCATCTCTACTTCAACGATGCAAGAGCCGCTCCCTCGGGGAATGCGGGAGCTCAACATCACGCCTAAACGGAGTTGTCGCCCAAAGACTCAAGGGAAACGGGGCAAGCGAAGGCTACGGAATCCTTGATCGAACGGACCTCCAAGTTAACCTATGACCCTGACGTTCGATTTGTGGCCCTCACGTGACGAGAGTGTTTCCAGACAGGATGCGAAAAGTCGAGATTAGACTAATCACACAAGAAGTGAATCAAGTCGCATTCCAGAAGCACTCAGCACACGGGTTGCGGCAAAAGTGTTTGGCGTTCCCATTCGACAACTGTGTATGCTTTGCGAGAATTTTTGTTTTGGCATTGGAGCTGCTCATTCGCGAGAAGGTATCAGAGCCTAAAACTCGTGTTCGGGGGGAGGGGTTTCTCTGGCAAAGAGATCGGGAGCGGGAAGAATACACAACTCCCGACGCTCTGGCCAGAGAAGCGTCCAAGTGGATCGAATCGCGAAAATAATCTGTCCCGGAAGTGTTCGTTGATGAACGCGGGAGGTGGACGGCGCTGGGACCTTTCTTGATGCTGGAACTAGGGGCGGAACCTGTATTCAGGAGAAGCAGGGTATATTGATCGCTTGGAGGAGTGAGAGCGAGACGCGGCGCTCATGGAGTTGCTTTCCGCGTACCGTAGTACGGCAGGCCCGCACGGCGAATCGCTGGCGGGAGACTTCCTTGATCGTGCTCTACGAATCAATCTTTCCCCGATGAGGGACGACCGCGAAGGTCTAAGCGAGACGAAGACTAATACTCCGGGCTGGTCAGTTGCTTGTGAACGTTCCCAGCTGTGAATCCGCTCGATTCGAGTGCTCTGGGCGTCGAATCTCATGCTCGAC